TTCCTAGCACCACACGTGCACTCTGCCAAAACATCAACCCTAACACCAACCAGAGCAGTCTTATTAGCATTTACCATATAAGGCAAGTTGCTGATGTCCAAATTATTAGTGCAAGAACCTTCACACATTTTGTTCTCATACAAACACTCGTCAATTCCTACCATGGTGATGTTTATACCGACATCTCTTTCGATCTCTTCCCGGTGCATCAAAACTATACCATTTAGCCTGACAGGTTTGTAATAGGTTTCTGCACGAGCTGCAAACCTGATATCAGTAATTGCAGGATGGTGTCTTCTGGTTTGGACACTGAAGACATCAACATTATTGCGATCGATGCTCAAAAGATCTGCTATTTTGTCACGGAACCTAGGGGAAAAAAATACATGAAAAACAAAAGATCCGATCACTATCGAATTTTTTTACATGTTTTATATATATTAACTTCCCGTAGAGTAAGTTATTGTAATGGGCCGAAAATCGGAATTGAAATTTTTTACATTTCTCGACGTTTTGAAGGTTTCTGAACGTTTTGGCATACTTCAGAAAAAATGGATGTGTGTGTGTGTGTGTGTGTGTGTATGTGTGTGTGTGTATGTATGTATGGATACAAATTTTCGCCCACGTTTTCGGGCGCACGGATCAACCGATTTGAATGGTTCAAAAACATTCGATTCCTATTGATAGAGAAAAGAGCTGATTAGTTTTTAGCAAAGGCAGATCCAGCCGTTTCGGAGATACGGAGCAAAGAGTGCAGAAAATAGAAATCGAATTTTTGAGAGACGGAGTATCCGATTTGAATGAACTAAAAAACATTCAATTAGTAATGATTGGGAGAAGTGTTTATTAGTTTTTGGCAAAGGCAGGCCCAGCCATTTTGAAGATACGGAGCTAAATATGTAAAAATGGCAGTTTTTGAGAGAACTAAGCGTCCGATTTAAATGATTCAAAGAACTTTCTGCTTGTCTTACAAAACAATTGAGTTTGGAAAAAATTTCGTTCAATTTTTTATTTTTTTTTTATTTTTATTTTTTTTTTTAGTTTTTTAGTTTTGTGTATATCGGAAATATTTCAGATTTTATTTTTAATTCTGACTATAGTCTAATATACTTTACAAATAATTTCAACTCTGCAATTCAGTTTATATAATTCTTATAAATATTAGATAATGTTACAATATTTATAATAATCTATTTGAAAACATTCAGTATTTCTCGAACATTTCGTTACGGTACGGGAAGTTCCAGCAATTTGCCTTAAGGCACGATGCCATAATTGCCTCAAGACAGAATTCCACTTACAGCTAGTTCTCCGTAAAATGTACTATCGATTTTTTGATCGGATCAAAAATCGAATTTTGGCAGTCCAAAAACGAACAAAATTTTGGGTAAAATTCGACTTTATTTTAAAAAACGCTGTCATTTTGTAATTTTAGATTTTTTTCTTTATCGTAGTTCATTTTACAGACAATATTATCTAGTTTAACGGTTTTCTTTTTTTTTAGATACATGAAAAAGGTTCAGAGGTAATACCCCAGACAAATTAAAGCTAAACTAGTGGTGTATGGCATCGTGCCTTAGGGCAAATTGCTGAAACTTCCCGTACCGTAATGAAATATTCGAGAAATCTCAAACGTTTTCAAATATATTATTACAAATACTGTAACTTTCATTATTTTGTTTGCTATCTTGTTTGTTATATCTGAGCAAATCAAATGTAAATCATAAATCAATTATTACATTAACAATAGTCATTTCATTTCGAATTTTCAAAAAATAGTTGAAAAAAAATAGCCTAATTTACACAAAATTGAAAAAGTTTGAGAAACTAATCAGGGTTGTAAAATGGTAACACACTTGATAGTTTTATAATAAAAATTCGAGTAAAAAATAAATACTTAAAAAAGTTCAAAGGCGAAGCCCAAGAAACGAATTAAACTTCTTTAGGTTTTATTCTTTTATAAGGATTTTTTTTAAATGCACTAAAGTGTGTTTGACATCATATTTATCTAATTTTTTTCAATTTAATGCATTTTTTGTTTAAAATAAATTATTTTTTCATTTATTCGAGAACTTTCCTTTCACTATCATAAAAATACTTTTATTCTTATATGTGAAAACGATGCTGAATAACGAATAATTATTTTCAAAGTTATTTAATCAAGATAAACTATTATTTTTTAGTTCTACTAATTAAATTAAAATAAATTTGTTTACTATCCATAAAATCAAACAATAAATAAATTCAGTCAAATACTGTCTAATTACACTAAATCAATTATTACATTAACAATAGTCATTACATTTCTAATTCCAATAAAAAAAAAAATAATGCCTAATTTACACAAAATTGAAAAAGTGCCCCGCATAATCACATTCTAACGCATTTGCACATAATTCTGTGCGACATTTTCACTTGTACTGTGCTTAGTTTGGCGGCATTTTCTCATTTTTCAATAGTTTTCACAAAAAATTGTAAAAGTGTTCCAGTACTTAAACAGTCTAAACGCACTCGGGTAAACATTTGTACCAGAGTGGCGCTTAGACTGTGCTTAGACTAAGTATTTTTTAATTTTTAATCCAAAATTACAAAAATATTTTTTAAAAAAAAAATTAGAAAAAAATATTTAACATGAATTAACATAATGCATATTAGTTAAAGTTTGCGAACAGATTTTGTAAATAAAATACTGAAATTTTTTTTTCTCTCTGAAATTTTTTAAAATAATATCTAAGAGTGATTCGGTAAAATATAGAGGCCTATGAAAAATGAGTTAGTTATAAAAAAATATTTATATAAATAGCATATGGCGAATTGGTCCTAGTAATCAGTTGTGGAAACTTTTAGATAAAATGTCAATTTTTAGTTTTTTATAAAGTAATTTTTTTTTAATTTTGTATCTTTATACATTGGAATATTCAGGACTGATCCTGTAAAATATTAAGGCTTGTGAAAAAGGACTAATTTATAATAATATAATAACGCTTTGCTTTGTTGATATTACTAGTCCCTGTTATTAGTCAATTTTTGATACATTCCTTATATTCTTTTTTATTTAACTGTTATTTTTAAGAACACTTTCAGAAGACTTTTAATAAGCATTGTAGTAATTTGTGTAAAATATTAGAAGCCTAGTTAAAATTTTTCATTAACGTTTAGAAACTTTTAGTTCAAATTTTCTGGTTAT